ATGGTGTCCATTGTCTTTTCTGTCACTCTGTGTGGCCTGTGAACCACAGGGATCCTCACACTGCAGGTCCCCAGGAGAAGGGGCATCATGTGCTCAAGGGAGGGTGTGTGGCAGACATTCTGCTTCCTAAAACCCACTATGAGTGTTGTGGGGGGAACTGGGACCCCCACCCAGCCACTCACAGTGCTCATGGAAGTTGTTTCCCCAGGAGCTGCCCCAAGGGGACTCCAAAGATGCACACCTCCGAGAGGACCAACGCCCCCTGGAAGGTGAGTGTGTCACTCAGACCTCAGTCACCAGCACCCAGAGGAAGCTAGAATGCTGCCTTAGAACCTTCTAGAAGGGGCATGCCCTCTCTGTGCACCCTGGCAACCCCTAGCTGGGGATGGGCGAGCTGTGAGCCACTCTCCCCAGATCAGTCATGCATGTGTCATGCTTCCCACCTGTATGCAACATGCCTGTGACATACTTACACTGTGTGTATTGCATGCTTATGACATGTCCCAGCCCCTCCCTCCACATTGGCCCCCTGGCTGATGGGTGTGAAGTACTGAGAGGCTGGGTGAGGCCCTGGCACTGCTGTGTCCACCCTGTCACCTTCCCTGAGGCTGGCAGCGGGAGCCAGACCACCCTCCCCCCTGTGTCCACAGTGCTGCTGCCCTCTGAGAAGGCTGAGGGCCGTGAGGGTCCTGGACAGCTCTGCCCCGAGACTGGAGACAGAGCGGCCGGCCGCGAAGGTGCCCGTGGCCCGGGCAGGAAGCACCTACACATCGATGTGGGTCTCTGTTTCCTTCTGTCCTAGCCGGGGTACTTTGAGGGGTCCCAGAGCAGGGGTGACGGGGTCTCAGGGAGCAGGTCAGGGGGTCACAAAGCAGGTTCGGGGGGTGGTCACAGGACTGTCATGGAGCAGGGGGAAGGCCACGGGGCACGGTGGGGTGGGGTGGGGTAGGGGGGAGTCCCAAGTGGGTCACGGAGTGGCGGGAAAGTCACGCAGCGGAGGCCGGGGCTCACAGGCTTGCATGCAGGCCATGAGACTGTGGGACCCCTCCCCTAGCCCACAGCCAGGTAAGCCTCACAGGAAGTCTGAATGTTCTTCAGAGGGGGCAGTAGCTCCCCCCAGGTGGAGGCCTGGGTTTGTGGCCCTAAAACAACCCCAGCTGCTGTCCCTGGACTTAAGCTCTTCCTGTCTGGAAGGGGAACGGACTCTGGGCTCTGCCCCGAACCCCCAGCACTGGGTACGAGCGTCCTCTGTCCCTCCCTCCCCATCCACGGGCACAGGAGCTGCAGTGTGATGTGTCCGTGGAGGAGGACAATCGGCAGGAGTGGACGTTCACTCTCTACGACTTCGACAACAGCGGGAAAGTCACCCGAGAGGTACCCTCCATGTCCAGAGACAGTACGAGGCTGGGTCTAGTAGACAGACAGACAGACATTGGCCAAGGAGATAGCTAGAACCCCGCTTTGCATACGGAGGACTCAGCTCCCGCCTGGCCGGCCAGCCACCATATGAACTCCTAGCAGCCAAGCATAAGGACCCTGTGTGCCCCTCGTGCGCCCACACCTCCGTGTGGACTCACAGGATGGCCTCTCGGGGCACTACCAAGCCCACCCAGTGTGACGTTAAAGGAGAATACTGACAGTGTGGTCGTGGAACATGGTTCTGCTGGAAATGTGACAGGTCACATAGATGGGGCTCAGTGTCCCCCACGCCAGCCTGGGACTCAGTGTGGGGGTGAGGGGCTGCAGGTGAGTGAAAGGAAAGCAGCCAGCACTTTGCTGGACAAGTGGCTGGATAGGCAAGCAGCCAGTGACCAAGCGCACAGGTGGGTGGTGGGGGACAAGAAGGCAGGAGCCAGTGTTCATTAATCTGCCTGGTCACACCCCCAGGACATGTCCAGCCTGATGCACACCATTTATGAAGTTGTGGATGCCTCAGTCAACCATGCCTCTGGCAGCAGCAAGACCCTCCGTGTGAAGCTGACTGTCAGCCCAGAGCCCTCTGGCAAGAGGAAGGAAGTCCTGGCCACCTGCCAGGGTAAGAAGGGGAGGCCAATAGGGATCCCCGGGTCTTGGGCTGTCCCCCTACACCACACATCAGCACTCCTGGGAGACAACACCCCCTTCCCCCTCTAATGTGTGTCCCACAACTACTGCACCCCCACCTCCACCCCATCCCTGCTGTGTCCCTGTGCATTGTGTCTGTGTGGTCCCTGCAGGGACAGCCACCAACAATACCTACAGGCAAGTGCTGAGTGGGTGAGACAGCAAGTGAAGGAGTGAGAGAGTGAGGGAGAGAGAATGAAGGGGAGAGAGTGAG